TCTCCCCTTCCATTTACATCAAGATTCATTTTCAATTCTCTTTATATACAGAGTATCAGTTTAGCATATATTAAGTAAATATTTCAACAGTTTGCACCCACATAGAAACACAAAGTGAAAAATACTGTTTGAGTACTGGGGCCCTGAGTTGTCACCTCCACACCTCCATGTAGGACAACTGTGTCCCTCTAATTTGCATGGAGTTTCCTCTGCTGTTTTCTCCCTAACTCTTCCCTGAGATTGTCGTCTCTCACCTTTTTTTATTTTAAACTATCTTTCCCTAGACTAGACCAGGAAGCTCCCTCCCAATTCTGCCATCTTGAAACCTCCAAAAGGTACTATATATTTTTTTAAACAAAACACAGTATCTCAAGATCTTATTAGTCCAAATAAAATCTTCCTTAAGCTCTAAGGAACAGATTAACAAAAATTATGAAGAACCATTATATCCAATCTGTCTTTACTTATTTAACATTTTTATCTTGGCACCAGAATCATGAGTTATATTCTATACACGAGAACACTTGCCTGTGAAATATGGAGGTGCACAACCTTGAGATCACTGAGCAGCTAGAGAAAGAGAACATTAACATGGGAAGCAGCCAGTGGGCCCCCACCTGCACGCATCTCCCTGCCAACCTGCAGGTTACCACTATTCAGAAGTCTGTTTATCACTGTATCAGTCCTCATGATTTTATGCTACAGGCACATACATATTCCTAAACAAGAGTTCAGTTTACATTTTTGACTTTTTTATATTTATGCCAGCAAAAGTTTTAATTTTCTATTTCATTGCAAAAGTATATCACAATTTACCTATCAATTCTACCATGACTGATTGCTTTCAGGATTTTTTTTTTTTTTTAAACAGGCAGAGTGGACAGTGAGAGAGAGAGACAGAGGGAAAGCTCTTCCTTTGCCGTTGGTTTGCGCTGCAGCCGGAAACCGTGCCTATCTGAAGGCAGGAGCCAGGTGCTTCTCCTGGTCTCCCATGGGGTGCAGGGCCCAAGCACTCGGGCCATCCTCCACTGCACTCCCGGGCCACAGCAGAGAGCTGGCCTGGAAGAGGGGCAACCGGGACAGAATCCGGTGCCCCGACCGGGACTAGAACCTGGTGTGCCAGCGCCGCTAGGTGGAGGATTAGCCTACTGAGCCGTGGCGCCAGCACTGCTATCAGGATTTTAATAGCACAAAAAATAATGCTACGAACACTCATAAATACGTTTCACAAGGAATTTCTTTAGGAAATGTATCACAGGCACCAGCCAGGTTTCTGACTTTGTGTATTTTCAACATTACCGAAGTTGCCAAAATGGTTTTCAAAATTGTTACCATAGCTTTCTACCTGCAGTGGGTAAGGATTCTCACCGCCCATAACCTCATTCCCTGAAGAATTAACTATCTGCCAATCCAGCCGTGTGGCAGAGGACTTTGTCTTTTAATTAAACTTGTTGCTAAAGGATTTAAAGTTGTGGCAGAGCCTTCCCAAGGTCAGAAAAAGGAAAAGGGAAGCATCTGTCCTGGGAATGAAGTGTGGCTGCTACCTGCCTGCCTGTGAATGCTTCCGCTGCAGTCCCGACCTGCCTCTATGGACCACTTCAGGTCCTGCTTGCTAGTACACAGCAATGCTGTTGACCCTTGCAGACAGCTACGGCTCAGTATGTGCGTGGGAGGAAAAATGTATACACGCCCAGTACTGCATCAATTCCTGTGGCTGCCATGTAACATCACAATATCCAATCCAATGTAGGCATGGAACCAAGTGAGGGAGACAAAGAGGCTAAAGCCATATCTAAGGAAACAGCCCTCTTTGTTCTGGGCTTAGGCTTTTAGATAAGAAATCCCACCTGGGCCTTATGCTGGCATAAATAATAAAAAGACTACTTCCTACTAAAAGCCTTGGTGTCTTGTCTCTGCACGAATCCTGCTACTGTAGGTGCAGAAGGGTCTCATCATAACTGAAGCTGACATTTCTGTCACTCATAATGGACTGTCTTTGAACCTTTCTTTCACTGTTTCTTCTCCGGTAAAAATCCGTAATGCCACCTGCCCATTCCTTCTACCAGGCTGGCAGTGTGTGCATCACCCCCATGTGCTACTGCTGTTTGAGTCTCACCCTGTGCCTTTCTTCATGCTCTCTGGATGAGCACAAGTCCTTGATTTGATCAGTTAAACTTACTCATTTCCTTCACAGCTAACCTTTTTGTGTCTTCTGTAAGAATTCAGAGTCATACACTCCTGTACTTTCTCTAAAAGTTGTCAGATCATACCTCCCACAAATGAAGTCTTCTCTCCACTTGAAATGACTGTCGAGTGGATGGGAGACAGAGGGCATCAGCTGGTCTTCCCGTGCGGGGACATGGCCACAGCCCTTCCCCATCTCGTCCTACATTCAGCCCGTTTGCAGAGACGCACGGGGCACCTTCCCTTCTCTCCTTCCACGTCACTGTCGCAGGCTTAGAGTGGAGGGTTCCTTAAGTGGCTGTTAGGCTCACCCGGAAAATTGCCTGGAACTAGGCCTTAACTGCTTCTTGCTTTGTCTCCACAGGAATGTTTTTTCTCTAGTGACTGTATTTCCCTGGTGGTTGTAGGATTATCCTGGTTGTGATCTTGAAGAGCTAGTTTTGTCAGCCTTCTTTTCTACAGGTTTATATGCTACAGTCAGGGATAGAGTGGAGACGTGTCTCCTTTGCATCTATTTTAAATTATTTCCCGTGAAGTTGCTCATTCTATTCTTAGTAAATTCTACACTGCAGGCCGGCGCCTCGGCTCACTAGGCTAATCCTCCGCCTGCGGCACTGGTACTCTGGGTTCTAGTTCTGGTCAGGGCGCCAGATTCTGTTCTATTTGCTCCTCTTCCAGTCCAGCTCTCTGCTGTGGCCCGGGAGTGCAGTGGAGGATGGCCCAAGTGCTTGGGCCCTGCACCCGCATGAGAGACCAGGAGGAAGCACCTGGCTCCTGGCTTCAGATTGGCGCAGTGCGCCTGTCATAGGGCCATTTCGGGGTGACCAATGGAAGAAGACCTTTCTCTAACTCTGCCTGTCCAAAAAAAAATCTACACCTTAGCTTCTAGTGGGTGTGTAAAATCACACAATCATCTTTGGGCATATGGTTTTTAACATTTGGTCGTTTCTTGTAAAATTAAACATATACTACCTAGGACTCAGCAGCTCTACTCTTTATATTTTCCCAAGAGAAACAAAACACGTGTTAACAAGGAAATGTGTGAGAGAAGGTTCACGGCAGCTTTATTCATGAGGGCCAAAACCTGGAATCCAGTCAGGCATCCATCAGGGAGTGCCGGCAGGGCTGTGGTGCAGCGGTGCAGCGCAATGCCACACACGACAGACATCACACACAACACCAAGGCGGACCCACAGCAGAGCACATGCTGTGGGAGTCCATCCATGCAAAATCCCACACCAGGCAAGCTAATCTATGGTAGAAACAAGATCGCCAAGTCCCTGTCTCTGGGAATGTGAAGAGGGGACAGGCCATCAAAGGGAACAGGGAAATTTCGGGAGGAATGGAAGCATCGTTATGTTAATAGTGGTTTGAGTTACACAAGTGTTTGCATTTCCCAAAATTCAGCTATTATATACCCAAGATCTAGGCATTTCACTGTTTGCAGATTTTACATGAACAGAAAAGAAACTAGGAGGGCAGTGTTGTGGTACAGCAGGTTAAGTCTGCTGCATATAAGCACCAGTTAGAGTCCCTGATGGTCCAACTTCCTACCCAGCTCCCTGCTAATGTGATAGGAAAGCCATGGAGGGTGGCCAAGTGCTTGGGTCCCTGCCATCCATGTGGGACACCAGGATGAATCTCCTAGCTCCTGGCTTCAGCCTGTCCCAGCACTGACCATTGTAGCCATTTGGACACTGAACTAAACAGATAGAGGTGTCTTTTCTCTCTCAATCTGTAACTCTGCCTCTCAAAATCTTTTAAGATTTACTTATTTATTTGAGAGGCAGAGTTACAGAGAGGGAGAAACAGAGAGAGAGAGAGAGAGAGAGAGAGAGAGAGAGAGAGAGAGACACACACAAACACACACACAGAGATCCAGAGAGAGAGAATCTTATCAGCTGGTTCACTCCCTGAATGGCTGCAATGGCTGAAGCTTGGCTGATCCAAAGCCAGGAGATTCATCCTGGTGTCTACATGGGTGGCAGGGGCCCAAGCGCTTGGCCCATCTTCTACTGCTTCCCCAGCCATAGCAGAGAGCTGGACGCAGAGAGCAGCAGCCAGGACACGAACCAGTGCCCATATGGGATGCCGGTGCCATAGGTGGAGGCTTAACTTACTACACCAAAGTGCTGGCCCCAAATAAATCTTTAAAAAAAAAAAAAGAAAAAGAAAAATGGTAACAAGCATAGAACTCTGGCTAATGATGTATACATTGAAATAATTCAAAGAAATGTACTAATGTCAATTTATTGAATGCATTAAAGAATTAACTGGATTATGGACAAAGTACACTCAAGTGTTAACTGTGAGATCCAGATAGTAGGTGAATATACACAGTAAAATTCAGTTTGTTGTATGTTGAAAATTTTCACGACAAAACATTAAAAATAGTTACCTCAAAGTCACACATGCCTCATTTTTCAAAGTAGCAGTAACAATTTACTGTTTTCACCAATCAGCACTTTTTTCCATTACATCTTTGACTAAGTGACAAAGTATCATGCATATTCTGGGGCAGACATTTGGCAGTTGGTTTATTTGCTGAGAGACCCACACCCCATACTCAAGGGCCTGCGTTCCAGTCCCAAGTCCCCTCCCAGTTCCGCTTCCCACTGATGTGCACCCTGGGAGGCAGCAGGTCATGGCTCCGCTAGCTGGGTCCCTGGCACACACGTGGGAGACCTGGAACGAGTTCCTGACTTCAGTCTTGCCCAGCCCTAGCTGTTGTAAGCATTTGGGGCAAGGGAATCAGCAGAAGGGAGGTGGCTCTGATAAGTAAATAAACCATAAAGAAATAAAACACCATCCTGTACCTGAATCTCCAGCTTCATTGCTTGTTTTTTTCCTTTTGCCACGAGACATAGTCTCTTTTTCTGAGTTTCCTATAAAAATTATAAAGCACATGTTTTTCTTTAAGAAGTATTCATTCTTAAAACATAAGCCTTAAGATGACTTAGCAAACACAATCAGTATTTTAACTATAATTCCTTAGTTCTAAATTACTTATATTAATTATCTAAATTAGTTTAAGAAAACATTACCAAAAAATTGAATTTTCACAAGACTTTGAGTGGACTTTTAACAATCATTGCAAGGGAGAAAGTGGAACTTCCACTGTGTAAGATTACAATGTGCAGAATCAGGTCCCATTTCTGTTTCCAGCTATAAGGAAGTAACAGTTCTTAAAGCTCTTATAGGGGAAAAGCCTCCCTTCCACCCCTCTAGGTTCTTTGGTTGAACTACAAATTAAGTTGACATGTAAGACAGAAGAACAAGAGAGAAGCCTCACTGAACTGTTGCCATAACACAGTGGGCATTCCCACACAGGATTCCCACAAGAAACGAAGGGCCAGCTAACTGAAGCTGGTGCAGCGTCCTGAGCGCAGAAGGGGGTAGGGGCCTCTGTGGGTGGTCGCCACGTAAGTTGTGGTAAGGGGAGGGGAGGAACTGTATGGTCAGTCCTGTAGATGAAAACCCCTCAGGTGGGGCCGGCGCCTGCAGTGCCAGCATCCCATATGGGCGCTAGTTCTAGTCCCGGCTGCTCCTCTTCTGATCCAGCTCTCTGCTATTGCCTGGGAAAGCCGTGGAAGATGGCCCAAGTGCTTGGGCGCCTACACCCACATGGGAGACCCAGAAGAAGCTCCTGCTCCTCATCAGCTCAACTCTGCCTGTTGTGGCTATTTGGAGAGTGAACGAGTAGATGGAAGATTTTTCTGTCTCTGTAAATCTGAAACTCTGCCTCTCACTCAAATAAATAAATCTTTAAAAAAAATGAATATTGTGAGGTCAGATTTACCATCTACAAGTAAAATATGACAAAAATAGTACAGAGGATGGGGGATGAATAAATGAAATTATACTGTTATAATTACATTATATAGTGGGAAGAAATTGTCAGCTATGAAGTAGGATATACAAGGATGACAAAGTAACACACTGATTCCAAATAGATTGCTAATTTAAGGATGTGTGTATATGGGTACACACACACACACACACACACACGTAATATTTTTTTAAGAACCTGCAAGAGAACCCCCATCTGCTGGTTCGCTTTCCAAAGGCCTGCAACAGCTGGGGCCTTTGGAAAGGACGGATCACTGGAGCCATCACCTGCTGCCTTCCAGGTACTGCACTGGCAGTAAGCTGGAGTCAGGAGATGGCAATCAAGCCCAGGTACTCCCAGGTGGTACATGGGCATCATAACTGCTAACCCAAGTGCCTACTTCCGAGGATGCATTTTTTATTTTTTTTAAGATTTACTTATTGGGGCTGGCACCGTGGCTCACTTGGTTAATCCTCCGCCTGCAGCACCAGCATCCCATATGGGCTCCAGGTTCTAGTCCCAGTTACTCCTCTTCCAGTCCGGCTCTCTGTTGTGGCCCGGGAAGGCAGTGGAGGATGGCCCAGGTGCTTGGGTCCCTGTACCTGCATGGGAGACCAGGAGGAAGCACCTGGCTCCTGGCTTTGGATCGGCGTAGCTCCGGCCGTAGGGGCCATTTGGGGAGTGAACCAACGGAAGGAAGACCTTTCTCTCTCTTCTAACTCTGTCAAATAAATAAATTTTAAAAAAGATTTATTTATTTATTTGAAAGGCAGAGTTACAGAAGGCAGAGGGAGGAGGGAGGGAGGGAAGGAAGGAATAGGGAGAGGGAGGAGAGGGAGGAGAGAGAGAGAGAAAGAGAGAGAGTCTTCCATCTGCTGGTTCACTTCTTAGATGGCCGCAATGAACAGAACTGCACCGATCTGGAGCCAGGAGCTTCTTCCAGATCTCCCATGTGGATGCAGGGGCCCAAGGACTTAAGCCACCTTCTACTGCTTTTCCAGGCCATAGCAGAGAGCCAGATGGGAAGTGGAGCAGCCCAGATTCAAACTGGCAGCTATATGGGATGCTGGCACTGCAGGTGGCGCTTTACCTGCTACACCACAGCACCGGTCCTGAGGATGCACATTTTTAATCTAGAAGTGACTGCTAACAAAAAAAAAAAAAAAAAAAAAAAAAGCATGGCTCATAAGCTAATAGAGAAAATAAAGCAGAATATTGAAGAATATTCAATTAATCAAAAATTAGCAATAGAAGGACAGAAAAACAAGAAATGGAAAATACTAAGATTGAGTTGAATATAATATTTAAAATTATATAAAAATGGATTTTTAGAGAATTGGAGGGACAGGAGTACAGATGGAAAATAAACAGCAAAAGTTGACTTAAACCAAACCATTTCAATAATTACATTACAAGCAAATGAACAAACAATCCAATCCAAAGACAGAGAACATCAAACAGGATAAGGACTTGCTGCCTGAAGTCCTTTTTAAATTTAAAGACAAAGACAAATTGAAAATTAATGAATTTAAAAAAAGTTTACCATGCAAAGTAAGCTTAAGAAGGCTCTTGTAGCTATATTAAGATCTCACAACAGAGATTTTCAAGATTTCATAATAATACTAGAAGCCATTCATCAGAAAGACACATACTTAAACACACAATTAGAAACAGCTTTATATAGTGGAATGGTGGTTTCCAGAGGCTGGAGAGTGGTGGGAGTAGGGAAGTACTCATTAAAGGGTACAAAGCAGGGCCAGTATAATGCATCCCACAAGGGCACCAGTTCGAGTCCTGGCTGCTCCACTTCTGATCCAGCTCCCTGCTGATGTGCCTGGGAAAGCAGCAGAAGATATCCTTACTACTTGGACCCCTGCACCCATGTGGGTGACCTGGATGAAGCTCCTGGCTCCAGGCTTTGGCCTGATCCAACCCTAGCTGTTGTGGCCATTTGAGGAGTGAATCAGTAGATGGAAGATCCCCCTGTCTCCCTATTTCTCCCTTTCTCTAACTCTGCCTTTCAAATAAATAAATATTTAAAAAAAAAAAAGGTACAAAGCTTCAGAGAGAAAGAGAAATAAGTTTTTGAGATCACACACAGCCTAATGACTGCAGCAAATAACAATGTATATCTCAAAAATAGCTATGAGAAATTTCAAATGTTTCAGTACAAGAAAGGGTAAGTGTACAGGTGGATGGATATATTACCTGAGCTAATCATTCACAATATATATATCAAAACATCACATGTATCCCATAAATGATTAATTTAAAATATATAATAATGATAAAAAGCTTTAGGGGAAAACAAAGCTTCAAGTTCATGACACAAAACTTCAAGAACTAGAGAAAATTCATACGTTGATGTTAAAAAAAAATCTATGTATCTGACAGATCAAGTAGACTATGACGCCCCTCATCAAAAAAAAAATGAAAAAACCCTCCAAACAACCAAAGCAGGAAGGACCCACAGCATCTTAACTTCACCATCAGCCAACTTGACGTCAGCTGACTTTCAGAACACCATGCCTGACAACTGCAAATTCAAGTCACAGGGATGTTCACCGAGACAGACCTAGTAAGTAAGAGGCAGAACATGCATAGCGCAGGGGCCTATGTCGTGACACAGCAGGCAAAGCTGCCACCTACAATGCTGGCATCCCACATGGGTGCCAGTTCCTGTCCCAGCTGTTCTACTTCCGATCCAACTGCCTGTTGATGGCCTGGGAAAAGCAGTGGAAGATGGCCCAAGTTCTTGGGCCCCTGCCTCCCACATGGGAGACCTGGATGAAACTGCTAACCCCAGTTTCAGCCTGGCCTAGCCATGGCAGTTGCAGCCAATCTGGGGAGTGAACCAGTGGATGGAAGGATGGAAGACCTCTCTCTCTCTCTTTCTGGGGAGTGAACCAGTGGATGAAGATCACCCCGCCCCCATTCTGCTTGTCTCTCTGTAACTCTTTGAAATAAATGAAAAAGAAATAAGAAAATATTGATATTTCCTCGTACATGCAGAAGGAAATTCTGGAAGAATATGTAAGAAACTAATTACCTATGTGTACATTTAGTGAGTGGGAAGGTGGAAAGTGGAAAATGGGGTAGCAGGAACATTTTACTATTCTGTAACATTTTTTCAAACATGACGAGAATTATTTATTCAAATATTAAACCAAGTGAGTACAGTGACATATTAACAACTTGACCAAACTATGTCAAGAATCTTAGAACAAATTCTGAGAAATTTTATCAGAATTTTTTCTAAGGAAAGGATCAGGGGTGCACACCAAGATTTAGCTACAAAGGACTTCATGAAGGCACTTAAAAACTGTCTAAGCAGTATTCATTAATACAGTAATTAACTGTGGCATATCCGTGGACAGAATGTTTCGCATGTTTTAAAAAATATTTCTTTATTTGAAAGTGTTAGACAGAGGTAGGGAGGCGGAGATGTCTTCCACCCACCAGTTCACTCCCCAGATGGCTGCAAGGGCCAGAGCTGAGCCAGGAGCTTCCTCCCATGTCTGTGCAGGGGCCAACAGCTGGGCCATCTTCTGCTGCTGCTTTCCCAGGCACAACAGCAGGGAGCTGGCTCGGAAGTGGTGCAGCCGGGACCTGAGCTGGCGTCCATATGGGATGCCCGGGCTGCAGACTGGGGCTTTGACCTGCTGTGCCACATTGGCGGCCCCTGTTTGTGTCTGTTAGAAAGGCACTGTGGGGTACTTCATGACCAGTGCGGGAGCCCACCGAGGGTGAGAAATGCCCAGCCGTAGGGCTGAGGATCCCCGAGGCTAGTTTGGGGCTGCAGAAGCGGAGGGGAGTTTGATGTTCTCTTCTAGAGTTCCTAAAACATGTTTATCAACAGAAGAATGTAACATTCATCGTTTGAAAGAACAGAAGGAAGTAAAGAAAATACACCATTTTCCAGTAAACCTTTTCTTTCCCGCGGGGCGACCTCACCATGGCCGGGGTCCCTCCGTCCGCAGGTGCACCGCTGCCACGGCCGCCTCCCGCCTCGGGCCTCTCTGACCGCGGCCGTCTCTCGGGAAGCCCCGACGGCGCCCCGGCCGGAACAGCGTCACACCGTCGCGCACCGATTCTCTCTGGTGACTGAACTTTTCTTCGTATCTCACTTTCTCCCGAGCTGTCAGAGCCATCGCTAAGGGGCTTACATCTTCTTCCTGGCTGCGAGAAGCAAACAGCGTCACGGGTCTGGAAAACACGACCGCTCACCCTCCTGACGGCAATGGCGCCACGCTGCGGAGCGAGCTTCTATAGCCCAGGGAGATGGCAGCTGAGCAGTGGACAGAACAGGAAATCTACAAGCCAGAGCTCCACGTCAACACTCCCCACCATCCCCTCTGCCGCTGAGGCCCCAGCCCCAACACGGCGCGCCACCGCTCTGAAAACTGGCAGAGGCGTCTGCACCGTGCCTTAACGAAAAGCACTTCAGGTTTTAAAAACTCACTTTTAGCCCAAAAACCTCTGGAACATAGCGCTTTATGAAAACTGCCGCCACAGAACACTCTCCACAGTCAACTGGAGTGTGAAATGCCTGTCGGAGTCTGAAGAACAGGCGCACGTACCTTTGTGGCTCTCAGTTTTACAGACGCGCTTTCACTTGCTTCACTTGCAGAAGTGCTCAAGCTGTAGGAAAGAACAAGCCATCAGTATCTTGCACACATTCGCACACGGTTCTACGAGCTGCTCCCCCGACACGAGCACCGCTCAGTTTACTGGGGGCTAGCCAGTTTGTCACGGGCAGGCCGGTCGCCTTCCTAGATTCATTGGCCGCCTCCCAGACCCACCATTGGTTTGTCCCAGGCGGGCAGACGGCAGCGCTCCAGGGCTGCTGCAGTTTGGTCATGTCTGAGAACTGCGCCTCCTCCAGATTACCAGGGCCGTCCTCTGTACCAAAAGCTAATCCACTAGATCAACTCTGGTGATCAACAGGGAATCTCCTCTTTCGCCCTAAAAGTAACCCTGACTTCTGATGGAAGGTGAGAATTTTCATCTTTTCATTCAATACAATCCATCAAACACGTAACATCAACCACAAATGCACTCACTTTAAAACTGAGGCCTCAGGTGGGCGTTTAGGCTAGTGATGACTATGCCCAAATTCCACACCTGAGGACCTGGGTTTCATACCTGGTTTCTGAGAAATGCTGTTGGTCTCTCTGTAGTGGGTGCGTCCCTGCTGCCCCAACTTCCTTTTCTGTTTACCTGCATTACTTACCCAAATGATGTCTCTTGTTGGGACTTGACATGACACCAAAACCAAGGTTACCGAGAACAGTCTCTGGTTAAATGCAAAGAACGCTCAGGCCTCGCCTCACGTGCTTCTCAGCTGCATTTGACCCTCCTTACTTAATTTCTCTCCCTCCCTCCTCTCTCCCATTTCCCTCCCCCCACCTCACTCACACACACACAATTCTGTGAATAAACACTGCCCTGGTTCTCCTCTCTTTTCCAGCCACTTTCCCCCTCTCTCCTCTACAACTTCCTTCTCTACTCAGGCAGTAGATGCCATGGCCTCTTATGGGTTAGTCCCAGGCCCTTGCCTCCTCTCAGGTTAGCTTCATACCATCCGCGTGCAAAGAACGTCTAACTCCAGCTCAGCCCTGTGCTCTGAGTTCCAGACTCAAATACACAGGGTCTCTGACATCTCCACGTCAAACTGATGATCTGCCCACACAACTCCATGTCCCAGCAGCCCGTATCTTAGTCAATGGCACCATCATCAATCCATTCAAGCAGGCAAGGAATTCAGGAGTTACCTCCGGTAGCAACTCGTCCCGTGCTGCGAAGTCAGCACATCACTAAGTCTTGCTCATTTGCCTCCTACTTCTCAAGTGCATCCACTTCTCTCCACCTCTACCGTGATGACCTGAGTCTACAGCATCCAAACTGGGCTCCCTATGCCATTCTTGTCTCTCTCAAATCCACTTGCCAGACAGCAGCGAGGCTGGTAATTTTTAAATGTAGATCCTACCATGTCATCCCCTACTTAAAACCCTCCAACTGCTCTTAGGATAAGGATAAAACTCTCTTTACCAAGTTTACGAGAGAGAATTAGGATGGCTGCACATTGTAAAAAATATATTCCCAAAATGGCTCAGATAAGACACTTGTCTTTCCTTCTTGGCCAAACTCCAGAATAATTTAGGGCTGGTGTAGTAGTCCCGTTATCAGGAGACCCAGGTGCCTTGTATCCATTGCTCTCTCAGTACACTGCCTCACGGCCCAACATGGTTGCTCGGTCTTCACCACCACATCCCATTCTAACTAGGAGGAAGAAGGATGGAAAACAGAAGAGCACAATCCTCCCCACAAAGAGACTTTCAGAAGTGAGACTCCATTTTAGCTAGAATCTAATCACACACACACATCTCAGCTGCAACAGCACGGAGACAGTATGTTTAGAATTCTGACAGCCATGTGTCCAGCTAAAACCATTCTATTACTAGAAGGGGGAGAAGTATTCCTATTACTACAGCAGAAGAAAACAAACAAGACCACTACAGGCAGGTATTCTGGGTCATTCAGTGTCAATTATGTTAATTACAAAAATTATTATAGGTAAGGCCAATTATAGAGAAATTAGTTTTTAATGTTCACACTCTCAAAATAAATGTCAAAACTTGGGTTTTATTAGCTTCTAACTTGAAGAACTTCCCAGAAATCTCAGAGCGTGAACCAACAATGGCTTGACGTAACCCTACCTTTCTTTCGTTGCTTTTCCTGGAGGAGTTGAAGGGACAGATGACCCACAGTGTTGGGAGAGTTCTTCTTCATCAGCATATATAGCAGTGCTGTGTAGGGGAGGATCTATAAGACCAAAAATGTACAACTTCAGTGGTCTATGTGGGCAGTGTCCATTCCCTGATACTGGAGTACTACACCGTCTGTGTTTAAATGGTTAACAAAACCAAAATCAGTCCTACAGGCCACTCCCAAATGCTTTTCCATATCACTCCCTTCCTCTTTCACTCTGGGTTGCTAGAGCCTTTGAATGGCATAAAAAGTCACCTCGAATGAAGAAGATGACCAAAGAACTGGTCCTGGTAGAAAGGCATAGAAAGGAGATGCTTGGAGGAGGGAGGATGCTCTGGCTGCCCAGGAAAGGGGAGTACAGGAGACCTCGGTGCACTAGGCTGGGCTTATGGTGGTAATGAACTTGGCAGGGCAGTGAGGTGGCCAGAAGTGCTGCAGGGGGAGGGGGTCCTGGTAAGACTCAAGCTACTATTTCTTCAGGCTCAAATTTTAGCACACCAGTGCAAATGCAAGCAAAATTTTCCAGACATACAGGTGCTTAAATAATGAACTGTCAATTGCACAAGTTATTTCTTGGGGGGGAGGATAAAAATGTTTATTTTGGAGCAAAAAAAAAAATCTATGCATAAGCAGAATATTCAGAAAGCTCACAGAAAAAAATTTATAAAATATGTACAGGGGACAGCACTGTTGCACAGCGGGTTAATGTCCTGGCCTGACACACCGGCATCCCTTATGGGCGCCGGTTCAAGACCCCTGCTCCACTTTCGACCAGCTCTGTGCTATGGCCTGGGAAAGCACTGGAAGATGGCCCAAGTCCTTGGGCCCCTGCACCTGTGTGAGAGACAGAAGAAGCTCCTGGCTCCTGGCTTGGCTTCAGATCGGTGCAGCTCTGTCCGTCACAGCCATCTGAGGAGTGAACCACCAGATGGAAGACCTCTCTCTGTGCCTCTCCTCTGTGTAACCCTGACTTTCAAATAGATAAAATCTTTTAAAAAATTATGTACATATTTCAATTTTTTGTACCAAGTTAATCTTTTGTTTCCCACTACCTTCTGAAGATATGTGTGTATGTGTACAAATATGTAGACAGACATAGCATGGGGCAAGACAAACTGACCATCTTCCCCACCCCTCCCCCAATCCCTTGAGATAATCTCCCTTCTTCAATATGTGTTTATTCTGGTCTGTGCTGGGCCACACACGGAAAGGGAACCTCGTCCGACTTGCGTCCTCACTGAGGAGGGCAACATTCCTCCACGCCCCCATCTCACGCCCACTCCAGGGTCTGACTCGGGAAGTGCTGCAAGGCTGGTGCAGTCAGGCACCAAGGCCCTGCCTGTGGTCCTCAAACACGGGGTGTGACTAAGAGGGAGCTGGAAGCCCAGGTAGCAAGGCTCCCCCACGGGAGAATGGTAGGTGAGGGGAAGGACAGAGCCTAATACAGCACTTGCCTTCCCCCGCCCCCTCCAGTTTGCTGCTTCCAGCAGGCATGCAAAGCCCAGGCGGAAAACCAGGAACCCGAGGAGGGGAAAGAGGAGAGATGGAGGCAGAAGAGAACGAGGCTGGGGGCTCAGGTCAGGCAGGTCAGGCCAGCGCTGGGGCCCCAGGAGCGGGACGGAACTGTGACTTGCACCTCTCTGCTCCCTGACAGATGAGGGTGAGAAGGGCAGCGGCAGTGAAGACGCATGCTCGGGCAGCGAGAGTGAACAGGAGAGGGGTGACAGGGACGAGGCGAGTGACAAGAGTGGCAGTGGCGAGCAGGAGAGCCCAGGCCTCCTGGGACAAGCAGATGATCTGGCTGCGATGCCGATCTAGAGGACGATGCCGACTCTGACGAGCACGATGAGCCTGTGGTGCAGTGACAGTGACTCGGACAGCAGCGGAGACGCAGGTGCTTAGCGGAGTCACAGGCAGAGCGCCAGTCCCCGCCCCCGTGGCAGGGAGCACTTGGCCCAGGGGGACAGCAGTGAGCCTGCAGCCTCTGACTCCCAGGAAGCTGACAGTGCCTGAGCCCCAGGGCTGGCACAGGCACCGTTACTGATCACCTGCACAAGAGTGAAACTAGCAATGGACTCTCTACTCTCTTCACCAGGAAAGGTTTTATTTACCCTGCTGCTGTGAATAACAACAAAACAACAGACAAATCCCAAATCTCCAAGTGGAACCATTCCAACTGAATGTTTACAACTTAATAAAACCCAATTATAAACAGGCAGAGTTTGAATAGACAGTTCTTCAAAAAGCATGTTCAACTGACCAATAGGAACATTAAGAAGATGTCTAATAACTACTAGTCATTTAGGAAATGCAAATCAAAACCACATTAAGCTATTAGTTGTATCTCTTAGTATAAAAAACAAAGTAAGTGTAGGTGAGGATGAGCAGCAGTTGGGACCCTGTGCACTGCTGGTGGGAATTTGAAATGCTGCAGTCACTGCACAAGACAGCACAGCATGTTCTGAATACAAACACAGCACTCCTGTATCAACCAGCCACTCCACTTCTGGCTATGTTCCTAAAGAAGTGAAAGCAGGTTCCAGAAGAGAGAAATTGTACAACCATGTAAATTACAGCATTATTCACAACAGTCAACAGGTGGAAGCAAACCAACATCCATCAACAGACAATGGATAAATGTGGTACATACATAGGATGGAATATTATTCAGCTATAAAAAGGAAATGCTGACATGTTACAGGAGGGATGAACCTTAAAGACATTACATCAAATAAACTGGCTACAAAAGGGCAAATATTCTATGATACCTCTTATAACAGGTGTTAAAGCAGTCCAATTCATACAATTTGTTGAACTCTTTACGTAGTATAGAGTTCACCGTATGTGTTATAAAGTTAACTGCAAATAGATCTTAGTAAAAAATAAGAATGGGAATAGGAGAGGAAGGAGGAAAAGAGCTGGAAGTGTGGGTGGGAGGGTAGGTACAGTGGGAAGAATCACTACATTCCTAAAATTGTATTTATGAAATGCGTTAAGTTTGTATTCCTTAAATGAAAGTTTTATGGGGAAAAAAACTCTAAATAAAAAACAGCAACTAAAAAAACACAACGTGAATGTTACAAAATTACACTTAAAATAGTTAAAATTATAAATTTTATGCTGCATTTTTCCATATATACACATAAAACCACCACATAATTACTAGAATAACTAGAAAAAAATTATTAACAACTTTGGAAGAAGATGTGAAGAAATTAGGACCCTCAGAGCTTGCTGTGGAAAAATAAAGTGGTACAGATGCTTTATAAAACAGTGCTTAAGGCCGGTGCCGCAGCTCACTAGGCTAATCCTCCGCCTGCGGTGCTGGCACCCCGGGTTCTAGTCCCGGTTGGGGTGCCGGATTCTGTCCCGGCTGCTCCTCTTCCAGTGCAGCTCTCTGCTGTGGCCCGGGAAGGCAGTGGAGGATGGCACAATCCTTGGGCCCTGCACCTGCATGGGAGACCAGGATGAAGACCTGGCTCCTTGCTTCAGAACGGCGTAGCGCACCAGCCATAGCGGCCATTTAGGGGGTAAACCAAAGGAAAGGAAGACCTTTCTCTCTGTCTCAAATACCAAAGTACTCAGCAATTCCACTCTGAGGTACATGCCCAAGAGAACTGAAAACAGATGTCAACACAAAAACTTGCTCATGAATGTTCATACAACAATCACGCATTATGGTCCCTAAGTGAAGACCATGTAAATTTATGCCAACTTATGAATGGATTACAACATGTGGTACACCCACACAATAGAATACCGAGGAATAAAAATGTTTAGGAACAGCCAGATGCATGCTACCATACGGATGAACCTTGGAAACACCATGCTAAGTGAAAATAATCACCGGGGGTAGGTGCTATGGTGTAGCGGGTAAAGCCATTGCCTGCAGCACTGGCATCCCATGTGAGCTCCGGTTCTAGTCCTGGCTGCTCCACTTCTGATCCAGCTCTCTGCTGTGGCCTGGGAAAGCAGAAGACGGCCAAACTCCTCTGCTCCCTGCACCTGTGTGGGAGACCCGGAAGAAGCTCCTGGCTTCAGATTGGCACAGCTCTAACCGTGCGGACAAATACGGAGTGAACCAGCGGGCGGAAGACCTCCCTCTCTCTCTGCCTCTGCTCCTCTCTGTGTAACTCTTTGAAGTAAATAACTAAAAAAAAAAAATTTAAATACTAACCAAAAGTCTCGTAAGGTCATCGTCTTTCTTACTTTCACTGCCATTGCTTGAGATTTCGGAGTTATCAGGAAACTCAAACACATCAGCAGGCTTGTGCTTCTGACCAGCTTTCTGGAAGTGAAGAAAACCAAAGTCACTGAACTGGTGCTAACGCACACCAGCCAAGCTGCTGGACTTAGCAAGGACACTCTGCTCCTGCTGCCGCCTAGAGAAGCTAGCCACTCTGCTGTTTTCCAGGAGACAGAGGCCTCTGAATTCTAAGGCCGGCCTGGCAAATCTTTTCTACAAAGCACCAGAGAGCATTTCAGGCTTTGCAGGTCACAAGGTTTCCACTGCAGAGGGAAAGCCCGCAGGGACAGCGCAGCCAGCAATGCGCAGGGCCGGCTTCCCACACAATCTACTCAGAGATGCAGACCTCTGCATTTCACACCATCTTCATAGCACACAGCATATCCTTTTTAGTTTATTTTGGCTATTTAAAAATCATTCTTTTCCCAGGCTTGTGTACAAAGAGGTAGTAGGCTGGTTTGGGCCCCCAGGCCCTAGCTTGCCTAGATCCCTAAAGAGAATGGTGGGCCGTCTCCCCAGAAACATGCCTGCCACCTGGATGTGCACAGCTCTGGGAGCACAGGGGCTGACAGTCCTGGCTGAAGGAGAGCCTGTGTACAGTTCAATATATGGATAGGCTCCGGAGGCTGGGGTTCCGGAGGATGCCAGAGGCAGAACAGAGAACAAACGCACTCGCAACTGCTGCCCGACCTGGACTTCATGTGAAATTCCAATGCCACGCGACAGGCCGTTGGAAAATAATTTGGAATTAGCTATCAAGAGCATTAAAGAAATGTACCTGCCATTACATACAGGTATTCTAAGACTCTCCTGAAGAAAAATAAAACTGTAACGTAGACAACATGGAACCTCATGAAATCACAAGCCATTGTCAGTAACACGGAGAAATGGCTGGGAGGAGTGGCAAAATTCAGAAAGCTGTACAATTTTTACACAGTGCTAATTATCTAAATGAAACAAACCTAGGCTTGGAAAAAAAGAAATGTTTCTAAAATGTTAACAAAGGTTCTTTTCTAACAGTGGAAAAAGTGAGAAGAAAAGGAATAAACTTTTTTTTTTTACTACCATAAAACAGAGCTTATCACGTGAAATACAGAAAACTCTAAGGTCCTCAAAGGTTACTTTTATTGTCAACTGTGAGAACAATCACATTAAAAGCTAAAAAGAACTTACTTCTTTCATGGGATGTGTTCTTCTTAAAGTGTTCTTTGAATACTGCACTGAAACGGAAAAAATAAAAGTTAGGAAATATTTAAAGCAACCAGGGAAAATACCATAACCTGACTCTCTCCAAGTATTGTCTTCCCAAATTACACTGCTCAGTAGCTGTACTAATAGTGTGCATGCAATGGAACTGAAGTTATGACGAAGAAGCAGAACCAATACCCTGCAAACATACAAGTCAAATTATATCGCCAATACATATAAAGTGACCACCTCTCCCTCAAGATCATGGAAAACTTCTAATCCTGCTGTCACGCTAGTCCCTGCACCCGATCTGTCAGGAAAGACTGACTCTCCGCAGAGCTGAGCCAAGGGGACGGATACCAACATGGATGAGACTCCTCACACCCATTCCATCTGCGCCTGGCCTGGGATCACACAGCTTAACAATCCTACGAAGTAGAGGGGGGCCATTGACAGCTCTGCACGGGCACAGAGCAACAGGAAGCCAGGGAGGAGAGGAGCCTGCAGGAAAACCCCATCGGTTCAAATCCACAGCCTACCTTCTTCCCACCCCATAACACTCTCCAGTGACCTTGGGCACACCGTAAAACAGATTAAGGTGCGGATCTTCTAGAAGTGAAAAGGAAGCAAATGCAACAACAGTGACTAGACTAACAACTGAAAACAACAGTGGCAAGAAAAACCTATATTAACATCAGCAGTCAGTGAACAAGCACTGAGCACCCTCCACAGCTGAGGCACTGCATGGGGTATTAGAGATACTTTAGTAGAATCCAGTACTAGTTCCTGGCTTTAAAATACGCCTTGTAGTTTTCAAAGACCCTTTGTGGAGGGCAGTATCAGATTAGTGTGTCTGAACCAATATTCTTCAGGTACTTTATTTGACATGATTTCAAACTGTCTCCCCTGTACCCAGGTTCATCAGTTGCCTTCACCGTCTCTTTTGCTTCCTCTGCCTGTGCAAGGTAAGCACTCCTAACTGAAGTACTTCACTATGGCTTCCCTAAGAGGGCATGCATGCACAGTCATAGCGGATTTCCAAAATCTAGATATTTCACATTTGCAATGTGATCATCCAACCTACAGTCCATGTCCAAATCTCATCGGCTCTCCAACACCCTTTAGGATTTTCACCCTAGCATTTTCTTAAAAGGGAAATTCAAGGGAACAGAAAATATAAGATTGCACTGGATAGGATATTTTCATAAACTTTCCGATTTGTTTCATGCGCACCTGCGTACTAACTGCGATGCAAAACATCATTGTGTGAATCACAGTTAAAAAAAAAAGAAAGCTGGAACACTGTTTAGAGCAGTGGTCTCACGCCTGGCGCCACCCCCAGTTTCTGGCTCAGTAAGTCAAGGGTTGGGTGGAGAGTTCACACTTCAAGTTGCCACGCTTTATCTGAGTCTCCAAACCTAAAATGGTACAACAAGTATTTGCTCAATGGCAATTTTATGATTCTGGTTATAATTCAGAGGTTCAGGAAAGCTAAATGACTTATCAATGATGGTAACAGGGAAGTTTTAGTTCAATTAAATTTAGACGAGTTTATTTGGGCAAAGCAAAACCAGAAACAATTAGGGAATGGAGCAGCCCCAGAACCATAAGCAAGTTCTGAGAACCACCAGCAACCTGAGCGATCACACATCATTAACTTAATTGGCTGCAGCCTACCCAATCAACCAATTGGTAACACCTTATCCAGTTCATTGCTACAGCCCAGTTAGTTAACTGCTACAGAGCTTCCCCCAGCCACCTAAGCCCAGTGACCGGCTTGACGTTCAGTTCAAATCCATGGCCTCCCACAAAAATCCAGCAATGGCCACACAGTCAAGTAACGTCAGCAGGAAGCAGAAACCACATCAGTACGCGTCTTAACCTAAATTGTTTCCAGCTGTCTCTTGCGTGTGCTCAAATCAAACAATACGCCTTCAGCTGGAGTCCAGGTGAGGCTTCGTTCAAGATGGACGCTTGAGACAACCGTGTTTTCCTGTGCATTTTGAGGGAAGGGCTCAACACATGCCCTAAGTCTCCATCTCTAACAGGTTTTTAAAAACCTTTCGGCGCCTGGATGCCCTGTAGACAACGCTAGAGAGCCCGGGCGTCCACTCACGAATCTGTGAACGACGAATACGACGTACTTTCCAATGCATGCCCCTTTTGAGAAAAGTTGCTCCCCGCCCTGGAACACTCCCGAAGCGGCAGCTCGGTCCCCGGGCAGGGGTGAGGGCCAGCGTTACAGTCTGCGCTTTGGGGTACGAAGGCAGACACGACCCGCAGGGGTGCAGCGTCACGTCTGGGGAACAGCAGGCACCAAGCGCCCGCGACCCTCAGCCCACGAACCCCAAAGTCTCTCCCACCCGCCAGGCCAGGCGTCACGCCCTGACTCCTCCTAGGAAATCCGCACTGAGAGATGCAAACCGAGGCCCTGGGCGAGCTGTCACTTCCACAAGGAAGCTCCACCAGCGCAGCCCCAAAGGCTCAAACCGCGTCAGTCCGAGCGGGACCCGCAGCTCTTACCCCGCCCGCCTCCGGGACCGCACCCGGCCGGCGCAGCCATCGGGCTGCTCTCGGCTCCCGCGGCGCCCACGAAACTCCCGCCAAGCCCCGCGCCGTTTAAAACGGCCAATCCGGGCCGAGCACGCGCCCCGCCTCCCCTCGGCCTGGGTCCCCCGCCCAGGGCCCGCGGCTCCCTTCCGGCCTTGGGCGTAAGTGAAAACGTGGTCCGGATCAACAACTGCAACGGAGCTGGAGGCCAGGCCTTCAAGCTGCTGCGCTGACGGGCCACCAGAAGGAATCCCACTTTTCCGGGTTTTCCCTCCCACCCTAGCCCGGGGCCTGTTTCTCAACGCTGGGACCTCGACCCGCTGGGCCCGCCCACGGGGGCGGGGCTAGTGCTGAGACGTGGGCGGGCGCGCAGCAGGAAGGGGCGGATCCCAACCCGAGGCCGCAACTGTAGCTGCAGGGGCCTTGCGCAGTGCGCAGGTGCGTTGAGCTGCGAAAGTGGATTGAGCCGCGAGGCCCCGGGGGCATTAGAAGCATCTGAGAGCCCTGTGTGCTCCTGCTTCCCTCCCCAGATATCTGTAATGGGGCGGGTTCCTGCGGGAGCGGATAGTCTGTGATTCTTTTCTTTCTGTTTAAAAAGGCGTTATAATTCAAAAAGATGAATTTGCATATAAATAGATGAATGTAAAAATATAAATCTATGAGAATGTAAATATAAAATGAACTCAAAATGGATCAAAGATCTAAGTGGAAGAGCTCAAACCACAAAACTCTCAGAAAGGAGGCCCTGCTGTGGCATAGCAGGTAAGGTCATCATCTGCAGTGCCGGCATCCCATTTGGACGCTGGTTCCTGTCCCGGCTGCTCCACCTCCGATCCAGCCCTCTGCTCTGGCCTGGGAAAGCAGTAGAAGATGGTCTAAGTCCTTGGGCCCTGCACCCGTGTGGGAGACCCGGAAGAAGTGCCTGACTTCAGATCAGCTCAGCTCAGCCCCTTGCAGCCAATTGGGGAGTAAACCAGCAGGTGGAGGATCTCTCTCTCTCTCTCTCTCTCTGCCTCTCCTCTCTGTAACTCTTTCATAATAAATAAATCTTAAAAAAAAAAAAAAAACTCCTTAGAAGAAAAATAGCGCAAAAGCTTCACAAAATTGGTAATGAAAAGATTCTGGAGATGAAAACTGGATGGCTGAGCAGCCACATGACTCTGCTTAGTGCCAAGAACTGTTCAATTAAAAAACATTTAGCCATGATTTTGGCAAAGGGTTTAAGATGCCCGTTTAGGAGGCCTGGATCTCATTTTGGTGTGCTTGGGTTCTGTTCCCACCTGGCTGATTCCAGCTTCCTGGTAATGCAGCTCCTAACACGAGCTTCCTTGTTCAAAGAAAACTCATTTATTTGAGAGAGTGAGAGGGACACACACACACACACACACACACAGGTCTTCCATCTGCTGGCTCACTCTCCAAATGGCTGCAAAGGCCGGGGCTGTCCCAGGAGAAGCTGGGAGCCCAGAACTCCTTCTGGGTCTCCCATGGGGACTCAAAACAGCACCCATATGGGATACCAGTGTTGCCAGCAGCGGGTAACTGACAGCACAGTGCCTGCCGTTCCCCAGCTGCCTTGTACTGTGCACTCTGGGAGGCAGTGGTGATGGTTTCAGTACTTTGGTCTCTGCCACCCACAGGGAGACCCAGATTGAATTCCCTGCTCTAGCTTCTTTGCCTGGCTCAGCCCTGGCTGTTGTGGGCATTTGGGGGTGAGCAAGTGAATGAGAGAGCTATCTCTGTCTTTCTCTCCCTCCCTTTCAAATGAACGAAATAAGTAATTTTAAATGGTTAAAATGCTACATTTTGTATGAATATTTGCACTACAAAATGCAACATGTGACATGCATACACAAGTATAAAACATATATGTAAAGAGTAGGGTGAGCGTGCCTACAACCACCACCGAGTTAGCGTACATAACTGGGATGCTGGTCTATTAGTCCTCTGAAGAACAGACACTCTTAGGAGTTTATGTTGATCACTCCTATGCTGTTCTACCGATACAACCCTGGATAATGTACCAATTATCGTATGTTCTAAATGACTTTTGTAGGTATTGGGAGTTCTCTTTCTTACTTAGAGCTATGCTTTTTATTTTTTTATTTCATTTTATTTTATTTTATTCACAGGCAGAATTAGACAGTGAGAGAGAGAGAGAGAAAGGTTTTCCTTCCGTTGGTTCACCTCCCAAATGCCGCTATGGCCGGCGCACTGAGCCGATCCAAGCCAGGAGCCAGGTGCTTCCTCCTGGTCTCCCACACTGGTGCAGGGGCCCAACACTTGGGCCATCCTCCACTGCACTCCCGGCCACAGCAGAGAGCTGGACTGGAAGAGGAGCAACCAGCACTAGAATCTGGTGCCCATATGGGATGCCGGTACGCAAGGCAGAGGATTAACCAAGTGAGCCATGTGCCAGCCCCCAGAGCTATGATTTTTAGATTTACTCACATTGTATCCACATCCATATGTAGCTGAAGTTCATTAATTTTCATTGCCTTCTAAAATGCATTCAGTAACTATACCACAGTTAATCTTTACTTCTTGTGTACACATACATCAGTTGTTTTCAGTCTTGGTATCATCAACAAGGTAGTCCTGAACATTCTTGTGCATGTGTGCATGCATGTCTCTTTGAAGAAGCCTGGATCTTCTTCTGGGTCTCCCCAGTGGGTGCACTTGAGCCGTCGTCCACTGCATTCTCAGGAACATTAGCAGAGAGCTGGGTAGGAAGTGGAGCAGCCGGGTCTGGAACTGGCACCCAAATGAGATGTTAACATCACAGGTGGGGGCTTTACCAGCTACACCATACTGCTGCCCCTCCCCCCATTGCATTTTGATTT